TGGTCCCACTACCAGCAACTGCTATAGCTGCGGAGGCTGTAGCGGCGACCGTCTTAGTAAGAGTTGCATAGCGCTAATCAAAGTACTCCACCATCACGTTCTTGATAGACCTAAACATCTCCGGCAACTATACCTAGAACAGAGTAGCAACCTCGTCATGCAAGATCTCTCGAATCCTGGCGTTGACCTCATCCGACCAATGACCTCGAGCGCTACTGGTCCCTCCTGACCGCCATCTTCTTATCCTGATCTGGATCCAGTCACAAATCGTCTACTAACCACCATGTTGAAAATATACCAGGAAAATATCAGATATTCTATGTAGTAATCCGGGAACCAACTCCCAACAAAGCCCTAGGGGTTGTGACTTCCTTGCTATGCATATGGGTCATGTGCTTTCAGTGGTATGGGCCCATACTACCTTCCACACCTACCTATATTTGTCTCAAGTATCATCACAACACCCTAACAATATATGTAAGCATGACGTGCGCTCAATCCTCACTCTTATAGGAAGGCTAAATATCTCATAACTGGCTAACTAACCTTGCATAACTCATCCAAGAAACATCCACCAACCCGGAAACTATACCTAGAACAGAGTAGCAACTCATCATGCAGGATCTCTCGAATTCTGGCGTCGACCTCATCCGACCAATGACCTCGAGCGCTACTGGTCCCTCCTCACCGCCATCTCCTGATCCTGATCTGGATCCAGTCACAAATCGTTTACTAACCACCATGTTGAAAATATACCAGGAAAATATCAGATATTCTATGTAGTAATCTAGGAACCAACTCCCAACAAAGCCCTAGGGGTTGTGACTTCCTTGCTATGCATATGGGTCATGTGATTTCAGTATTATGGGCCCATACTACCTTCCACACCTACCTATATTTGTCTCAAGTATCATCACAACACCCTAACAATATATGTAAGCATGACGTGCGCTCAATCCTCACTCCTATAGGAAGGCTAAATATCTCATAACTGGCTAACTAACCCTGCACAACTCACCCAAGAAACTTCCACCAACCCTGCAACACTCGTGTATGCTAGTCATATATATGTTAGTCCCTATAGACATTCGAATATCTGATCCTACCCTAAGCCCTTAATTAGATAAGAACAGGAAATAAGGCCAAACCAAACATTCTCAGGCTATAAGATCTTAATTACGTACAACTATGATGAATACATTAACAAACTACAGTAATGATGTCAATTTCATATAAGGAAAAAGCCTAGGCAATCAGGCAACATATAATCACGAAATTCTATCATGAAATTCCTGAAGATCCCTAGCCTAGAACTAGCATGATGTTCTAACATATCATAATATAAAATATATGTATGGTATTTTGGGGTCTACTTACTGGCTACGACTGATCGTAAACTCTGCGTCCTCCTTTACTATTTCGAATATCATTTGAAAATCATTTTCAAAACCTTTTCCTAAGTTTCAGACTGGATTCACATGAGTGTTCCTTCAATTCACTCAAACTAAGGCTCTGATACCAACTTGTAACATCCATAAATTTTAAGCCAATTTAAAACTTTTCAGACATTAAAAAACCATTATTTATTACAAAATGTTTTCAAAATAGTTTCATGTTAGAGTGCCCTAGAAATCAAATCATAAAAATGGGAGGAGGTGCACGATCACACCTTTGCCTTCCCGCGATCATCTGAAGTACCTGAAAAAAAATCCAAAACTGTAAGCCCAAAGCTTAGTGAGTTCCCCCAAAATACCAACATCATACAATCATAATCATATCATAGCAAATAAACAACATGCATATAGAGTCTACAGAATGATTGGATTTCCCTTTTTGGGCCTGCATTCTATCTGGTCCACTCTCAGAACCTTTAGAATGTCTTGTCCAGCAACCTGGGCCTTCAGTCTTTCTGGATCGTTCTTCGGGCCTTCAGCCTGACTTATGTGCCCTATCGAGCCTGCAGTCTATCCGGGCGGCCCAGGGTATGTTGGCCTACAGCACAAAGTAGGTCCGCCTCAACCAACCCCCAAACACAATCAACACATAGAAAACAATGCTAGCATATACAAAAGTAAAACCGATCTAACACATCACTAATCATAGCATCATCCTATATATCGGGATACCGACCTAACATGTCACTAACATAGCATCATCCTATATACCAGGATACCGACCTAACAGGTCACTAAGCATATCATCATGAAATAAACCCGGATACAAATCCGAAAAGGACCGGTATTGGTGCCTTCAACCCTGTTAGTATAGTGATGACAACTCACCTCACATTGTCGATCAGAACTGAAATATCAAACTCCTGAAACATGACTCCAAATACCAACACCTACACCCACCAATGATCCACTTCCATAAATACCCAAATTATCATAGTACCCTTAAAAGTTAAATTGGTCAACCCTTGGTCAAAGTTAAAGTTAACGGTCAACGTCAACAGTCCATGTTGGCCTAACTCGTCGAGTGCAGTCTACAGACTCACCGACGTAAAGTTGCAAACTTTACGTGCATGCAAGGCCTTAAATGCCAAAACCAAGCTAAGGAAGAGGTTTAAGCCAAAGAGAAAGGACAAAGCATGATAAATTTGATAACTTTATGACTATGAGGGCTTAGAGGAGTCCAAATCTGTTGTTACAACTTCAGATCATGCTCAATACCAGAAATGACCCACAAATATACTAAAAATGGCCTTAAACCCTTGAATGAGGAGATCTAACACTAGAATGATCAAGGTAACAACTTGTTACCTTCAAATAGAAGCCAAGACCAAGTAGGTACTGGATATACAAGCTTCTCCTTGATCCAAGCTCTTGAGTCTTCAAGTTTCTTTCACTAAAACCACCATCTAAGCTTTTACACACACACAAAAATAAGGAATAATAGACGATTAGGGTTTTCTGAGGTTGAGGGGGATGATAAGAGAGGTAGAGGGTGGCTAATGAGCCTTTAAATCGGGTCCAAAACCCTGGAAATTAGGGTTTCATATTCCAGCTCCAACTCGTCGAGTAGGTTCTAGAATCCATGCGACTTTAACCTTCTCTACATGACGAGTTAGGGCATCCAACTCGTCGAATTGGTTTAAAAAAATAAATATAAAACTTTAAAATTTATACCTTGGAGTCAGGGTGTTACACAAAGTCTTTTTTCATCCCATGTGGTTGCATGCTCATTTCCCAGTTCGTGTACTTTCAACCTATGTGCATGCAAATTAAACATAAAATTAGACATATTCACTTCTTTATTTATGTGCAAGTAAACATATCACTTAACAGTGATTCATCATTGTTCTTATAAGTGCTTTTACTACCTATCACCTCTTATTTACCTTTATGATCAGCTGAAAGGTAATATCTAGAATGTAATCGATATCCATTTCATTTGCAGTTCATTCATGCGTATTATACCTATTATGTTCAATATGTCCATAGATTATATCCCAATTTTGACTACAGTAGCCTAGAAAATCCATATAACAACATAATACATCATAATTATAAGCCTATTAGATAATGGCATGCTTAGAACACAATAATAAAACGTTATTACCTAACACCCTCAATTTGAGCATGAAGTTTTTGCCATTTTTTTAATAAAAATAAAATGTTTTCGGTTGCACATGTCGAACGTCATTAATGTGACAGGTTCGATTTACCCATTTGGAGGCACGACTATCGACATCAACCTCCCCCATCACATGCCAATGAGATTCTTGGGCTCTGTTGTTGTTGTATGGAATGAGAATTAGTAATTCCATAACTGCAATGTAAAACCTACACTCACTTGGAATGGATTACGAGTTTGAAATATGTATTTTCACTACTAGAAAAACAGCCTTTTACGAGGCTCATTGCGCGTCGTAAATGGCTTAGACGACGCGCAAATGCGCGTCAAGGAAGGCCTTGTCATAAAGAGAGACGACGTGCATTTACGACGCTCGTTAACAGCACGCAATGCGTATCAAGGAAGACCCTATCATAAAGGAAGACGACACGCATTCGCGTGTCGTAACCTTACGACGCGCATGTTAATGACACACATTGCGTATCAAGAAAGCCCCTGTCAAGAAAGGCCATGTCATAAATGAAGACGACACACATTTTTGCGTATCGTAATTTTAAATGTTTAAAAAAAATATTATTTATAGATTTACTTATTTTCAAATTAAATATGTATTTAATGTTTCATAATAGAAAATAAAATATCAAATACAAAAAAATAGAATCCATTGCATAAATTTAATGTCATACAAATAATCGTTCAATGGAAAGATAAAACAAATCAATAGAAGTTGTAACAAAAAATTAATTTACAAACGAATTAGATACAAAAAATACAACCCATTGCCCCTTTGCTTATTCAAGATCAACCTGCAAGTAACTAACTAATCTGTACAAATTCACTCTTGTTTCTAATCATTTTCTTACATACTTTACCAACATAATTCATCCATAGTACCTGAACTATAGTTGCAGCCTTGTTTCTTCTTCTTCTGAACTCATCTCTTGCAACCATTGCTCTAAGCCTAGTCTGAATAAATACAACAGCTCCTTGTCAATTATGTGAAAAAGAGAATTGGTTTGTAGAGGAAAGGGATGCATGATTAACAGCAACACATAAAGGTCTAGGAGCATAGATTAAAAAAAAAGAGGCAACAATCTCTCCAAAAGTGCCTTTAACAGATGAAGAAGTGAGTTCTAATATTTTGTCAACAACAAATGAACATTATGCATCCTAATTACAATATTCTTTGACAGTAATCCGGGTGAATAATCTTATAATCAAAATCATGCAAATCATATTTATATAATATATTTCATCATTTTCATGAAAAATTTATAAAAATGTATGTTAGACTAAGTTACATTAAAACCTGAAGAATTATCAGTCAAAACCTTATAAAAATCAGATTTACTTTCCTGGCACATAAGCACTGGTTGAAAATGAAAATCTTTTTGTCCAACACATTCGTACGCATTGATTATTAGTCATTGGATACTTGTTGATAAGAATAAGAGGGTAAAAGTTTTACTTGCCTCTTCACATGCATACTGATCTGCCCAAGAGGTAGAGGAAGGGCCTGCATTATATTGATGTTGATATTCATTTGCCCAGTCCCCACCTGCAGGCCTGACCTGGTTATCCTCAATAGTCAATTCCCCATGACTCATCTTTGAAACAAACTGAAGGAACTTGCAGTTCTACATATTATTTGCCAAACCAAATAAATAATATACTGATTATAAAATAAAATAAAATAAACATTTTAATTCAAAGTAAGTAAAGTAACCTGAAACTTTGGATTGGTGTTCTGAGCTAAAGTGTGTGCTAGCATTCGGGTCTGCTCCATAGCAGCCAAAGATGGAATGTTTGCACCTGCCATTTGGTCCATAGACATCATCTGCATTTGCTCCTGAAATCAATAACATCATAATTAATAGTAAGTCAACATTTAACTATTATTTTAATTATTGATGTGAAAGAGCTCACTGACATGCTTAAATTTAAAAGCCCAACCCACAGTACCATTTTGTCACTCAAAGGATAAAGCCCAAGCATTCGGGTCCCCACCGTGTTTTTGGGAAAAAATCAACCCAGCAATACTGATCCAACTCTGCGTATCTACCATGCATGTGCTCCCTAACCAACCCCCCATGATTATCGATCTATAAAGAAGATAACAGAGCATTCACCTGAACAAGTATTAATGTATGTATTCAGTTCATCTATCAAGATTGTATCTTAGGTAGGTCAATAGAGTAGCTGTAGCTACTCTAATTTTCATGGTTTATAGAACACGTTGTAATTTCATCTTTAATAGTCCTGCCAAATATCTTGATTTGAATACTTAATTACCAAGCGACCTTTCACATTACAGAAAATGATAAGAACACGAAGCATGGCCATGTCACTAAATGAGGCCTTAGCTTATTACAATAGAATTGGTTGTTGTTGTTGGAAAGAAGAATATTTTATTTTTAGCTAACTTTCCTAATTCCTAGTTTAATTCTCTTGTTTATATGTAAAATCTTCATCAACTTCTTTCTGCTCACATTTCTTACATCAGATCTGATTCCCTTGACCTTGAGCAGAATATCCAACTTCATCCCTTATCAATGAGACAATTGTAGTAGCTACAAGTTTTAAAATTTTATCAAATACTTTTATCCCTTTATCTATTCATTTCTTCATGTACCAAAACTTGATTCTAATTATAAAGACTACAAGGACATTTATGATGAAGAAAACACATACCTGACACAAGATAAACCTTCGACAGAACAAGCCTTTTTTAAATAAGCTAATTCATTTGGGGCATGCAATTGGTTCTATTCATATTAAGTAATAAGATTTAAGAAACAAATAAACGATAGACTAGGGCATCCTACTTTTGCTTATCTAATAAGGTCGTTCCCTCCCTGAATCATAACATGGAACGTAAAAATTAGGTTACTCCTCTTCAATATAGTTAATGGGTAAAGCACTTAATCTACACAACTTTATGGGGCTGTTTCTTTTTCATGTTTCTACCATCAAAATTAGGTTACTCCTCTTCAATTCAATTAGTTTCTTATAGGCAAAAAGAATGGTATTAATTTGTTTGTTTAGTTTTAATAGCAAAAGGTGAAATATGGAAGAGTTTGGGAGGTTGAAAAGGGATTATTTGATAAAGGGTCCCCTGAACAAAATTCATGGCAGGCATTTCCTGAGGAGAATCCCATAAACAGCTCCAAATATGTTAGAACAAGAAACAATGGGCACTAGAACAAGAAAGCGGATGAAGGCAGCACCACCAGTTGGGGTTTTGGAGCGAAAAGCTTCACAACGGTTCTTACCTCTGCTAACTCTCACTCTCAGGCAAACACAACACCTAATATACCACCAAATTACAATAATATCCTTCAAACTTCAAACTATAAAGTAGGAAGCAATATTATAATGTGTTGAACCTGGCACCTAATTAATTAAATAATCACAAAAATAGTAACTACTAAATAATTCTAATCTATACATGTTTATATAATATATAATATATAATTAATTACCTGAAAGTTAATAACAATGAAGAATTCTGGGATACCATCAGCTGCATATTTGTGGACAATGCTCCCAGGGCAAATAGCCAGATGATCTTCATGCTTGTCACATTTAAGCCAGTCAGCACCAACAGTTTTTAGCAATGTACATTCCACTGTAATCCGGTAAAATATAGACAATGATTTTTACTGTTTTATAAATGGTAAACAAAAATCATTTTTTTTACGTTCTTCCACAAAAGTTTCTCCACGGTCTAGAAATAAAAAGGTTTTGGTGACGACCAACTGTGGGCCAGATTACCAGTTTGATCTTCTGGAAGAGTGATTATGTAGTCACATTCCGATTCATCATCAAAATCAAAAAATTCATCTGAATAATGATCATCCATTTCTACAAGGTCTGAATCATTTGAAGCTTCATTATGATGCTGCATCAAACTGTTTTTCTTCAATTCTTGTGGACGGAACTCGGTGAATAAGTAATGTGATAAGTTTGTTTTAACAAGTTCTCTTAATGCTACATATACATAGACTGATTCGGTGTAAAATAAAATTTTTAAAAAATAATAATAAATAAATAAAGTGTGAAGAAGCAACCTGCAAGTCTCCCAAGCATTTGAATTGTGACACATTGGCCTAAAGATTTTTACAAATAAGATCTTCAGAATTTCCAATCAATGGAAAGCATGTGTCTTACAACTAATTGTTTATATTGAATTCGTCACTGCCTCCACCTTTAAAATGAAAAAGTTGGGACAAATTACAATAATATCCTTCAAACTTCAAACTATAACTACCACCGATTCTGGGCGTTCTGGTTATAGGGAGGAGTTAAAAAACAAAGAAAGTAAGTCGTCTTCCTGACCTGCTAGATGGGTTGGTTTCTAGTCTTGCTGATGTTATTATTATATAATCACGTGTTAAAAAGATACTTGTCGACATTTTAAGAAAACTGGTTGGACTTGGGGTATTATATTAATATCAGGGGTCAAGAACATCTGAAACAAATGATTGCTGATTTGTTGGGCATGAGCTACTTTTTTCTCTTTTGGATTACAGATTCCAACTCCATTCCATGCATCTTATTAATTAATTAATTGTTGACTATCAGCTTACCTTTTGTTGTGTTATACCTATACATATTACTCTGTTAAAAATCTAATAAAAATCAAATAACACATATGATAAGAAAGAAGGAGCCATTGGATCATTGATCATTCAGTTTAAGGTGGCTTCATCATGTCATACCGTTATGGTTTCTAAATACCAAAGGATGTCAACACCAACTTCGTACACATCATCGTTTTTTAGTAATCTAGTTAGGATATATTTAAGAAATGGTAGTTAAGGTTATAATAAGGTAATGAGCTATTTGAAATGCTTAGTATCTATCATCTTACCATAACATAAAAATTCAGTTTTTTTTAGAATAATGTTTTCCATAATGGAACCAAAATGTAACATCCGGACTTTTGCCAGGTATCATGTAAATTGAATTTTGTTAAATTGTGAGGGGGACTCGGCGAGTTAAAGCTCAGACTCGCCGAGTAGAGACGCGGATTGGACGATGGATCGCGCCCGGACTCGGCGAGTCCAGGATATGGACTCGGCGAGTCTGCGCTGTGTAGTGAAACCTTAAATTTCCGGGTTTGAGACCTATTTAAAGGGCCTTATGGCCGTCATTTGTGCTCACCCAACCCTTAGAGAGAAACCCTTGAGTGCTTGGACGATTTGAGAGAGAAAGGAGCATATCTTGACCTTGTGGGTGCCATTTAGCAAAGAAGGAGGTGATCCTAGGCAGGAGGAAGCAAAGGAGGTTGCTATTTCGTGGATTTGGAGCCTAGATCATCAATCTAGAGGTATGATTTCGGTTTATATTCTGTTTGGTGAAGTATTATGCGATTTAGGGCTTATTATGGACATTTATGGGATGATTTGATGCCCAATGGTTCCCTCCTTGTGCTGAGGTTTTGGATCTGGATCCATAGAGGTCCAGAGAGCCTCACTCATCAAGCTTTTTGTATGGCAATGGAGTTCATGACCTTGTGTTGTAGTATTTGAGTCAAAAACATCATATATGGTCATATAGAGGTTGTATGTGCATCAAGATTGTAACTTTACGTGCTAAATGAGCTTGGAAGGACTGGATCTATGGGTTAATGGACTGGATCTGACCTTATGAGCAAGTTTGAGTCATTGCATGGCACGGACTCGCCGAGTCCGAAGAATAGACTCGGCGAGTAGCATGAATGTTGCCCGACCACACAGTGAGTGGTCTTGCCGAGTTGGGAAGGGTGGACTCAGCGAGTCAGGGGGGAGTCAGAGTGGACAGGTGGACTGAGTCAAACTGGACTCGCCGAGTTGTTCTTGAGACTCGGCGAGTTGAGTCGTGGTGGCCCCACAACTCATGCCAGGTGGAACTCGTCGAGTTGGGAGAATGCTCGACGTGTCAAGGGAGGATCCCAGGGAAATTGGTGTATACGCTCAGACTCGCCGAGTCGCTATAGCGTACTCGCCGAGTCCGGTCAAAGTTGACCATTGACCGTTGACCAGCGTTGACCTAAGTTGACTTGTTATAGTATGGTCAACCCTAGTTGGGAAAGTGTTAATTAGAGATGTATTGTGCTATAGGAGGACTATAGCTCGGCAGATCGAGTGATTAGCGATTTCAGATTTACGACTTACCGAGACACACGAGGTGAGTCTTCTCATTATACTTTACCTTGAGTAGGTAACCAGAGTTATGTGATAGAGTATTGGTATGCTATGTATGTTACGTGTTGTACTGCATTATTTCTATGTGATTTATGTGGTGCATATTTATCAGAGCTAGAACCTGAGGGTTCACAGAGTTTGGGTGCACGGACCCACAGAGTTATAGCCTCGAGTGGCTAATATGTGTTATATGTGGTATTTTGGGGAACTCACTAAGCCTTGTGCTTACAGTGTTTGATGTTATTGTTTCAGGTACTAGTGACGATCGCGAGAAGGCGCCAGCTTGATCCGTACACACACACGCTCGGAGTTTGATATTATGATCTTGGGATTTTGTACTGTCTTGTTTGGATAATTAAATGGTTGTTTTTATGAATATCGATGGAATTATGTTTTATAAAAATTGAAAATTTTGTTTTGAAATTTACGGTGTTACACAAAACCTCTGGAAAAAAACAAACAATCTTTTTAAGTTTTATGAACAATAACAGACCTGATTTGGCAAGAGGGGGACAACGGAAAAAAGACAAACTTACCCATGAACAAACTTTCTGCCAGGCTTTGAAAGTTCTGAACAAATTGACCCAAGCACTTTAATGTTTGATAGAGGAATAGAATGTGAAAAGTGAGTGTACATTCACATAAATGGAAAGTTTGACTTATAAGTTAAAAATTATAAAATAAAGTTGAGTGGTCAGGAAAAATTAGCATTAATTTTTTTTTATCATTTTTTAGCTTAGTAAGCTTATTTATAGTTTAATGAATAGATTGAAAATGAATTTGTTACTTTCTTTCATATTGATCAAAAACTACCTCAATAGATCTGAAATTAAATTACTTTGCAATAGAGGAATTTGACTAATGCCTTCTTTCATATTCATTAGCTAGGCAGGTAAAAAGCTGAAAAAGAGTAAGTTTTTAGTGAGGGCTCATGAATTCACGGTCATGTGTACATCAGGTGATGTTATAAGGCATGATTTAGGTGAGATAGCTCTTTCAAGCATTTTGTCAAATAGTTGGAGTGCATAGCTCCTCTCCTTCCTTTTGTGATCTACTTATTGGAATTATCACCACTTTGAGAGCATACAACTCCATAGTTGGTTCTTGATTTTAAGAAGTTATTCTTATAACCTAGTTGTATATATTAATAATTGGATACCTGTTACATGTGCTTGACAGATAGCTTCCCAAACAGCAGCTAGTTCTATGCCAATAGCTACAAGCTGAAATGTGAAATAAACTTGTTTTCAAAGATGAGAAGTAGATGCAGAAAAAAAATCAGAGGCATAAAGGAGAAATCGATAATACTAAATGAAATCGCACATGAAGGGAAAACTCATAAGCCTTTTTCTTGATTGAGAAGATGAAGTCGAGATATGAATGAGAAATTGCGTGCCCCCTTATTTGGTTACCGACTGAAGAAATAGGGCAGGGTACAAGCGTCCTTTTCATACCTTAGTGCAATCAGACCTTGGGCTTGTAAACCTGAGGAGTCTTAGTAGATGCGGTAGGGTAGGGAAGAGGTGGAACGGTGAGCCTGAGGAGTTGATATCTTGTGTACCAATGGTGATATATTACTTGTCATTCTTCTATGTCGAGTATGAGAGAGAATGATTGATAGGTGTGTAGTTGCCGATGTTGTAGCCTGAGGAGTCGTAGTTGCTGAACGACGTTGCAAACGAGAGTGAAGCGAATAGGGCGTAAGTCTCCGATAAAAAAAATCCCTAGCTTACGTTGTGTAGGCTTGAAGAGTCGGTGTGGTTTGGAGGTAGTGGAGGTGGGTGACGGGCGGAGATGAAGGAGAGGAGATGTTACAGAACAGATTGATACGAATATAGGAGAAGAAAGCGGGGTTTAAAATTTTTTGGGATTTCATTTTCCCTCTAAGAAGAGAAACGCAGGTTCTTAAAAAAAATATATAAAATGACATTCACAGAGGATGCAAGTGCCCTCCATGTTTTTGATTTTTTTTTACATGAGACACTAATTTAAGGGCACGCAATAATGCGTGACCTAGATCCTTAAATTTTTTGAATAGATGACACTTTTTCAATGTCTCTCTCTTTTGAGTAACATAAATTAATAAGTGTCATGGTTTGCGTGTCGTAAAAGGGTCTTTTTCTTGTAGTGTTTAAATAGTCTATATGATCATTCGATGAAATGTAGTTGATTATTTGGATCACACATGGATAAGTTTGCAAAAAAGTATTCATAACCTCCTATATGGAGTTGTGTGACTTAATGTAACATCCCAAAAATCAAGGTAAAATTATTTAAAACCATAAGTGGTTACAAAACATAGTTTCCAAAAGTCATAAACATGAATCAGAGTATCTCAAAACGATAATCTCATAAAATTCAGGATGATGTGCACAATCAAGCATTCGCCTTGCCATTTTCCTCTGAAATACCTGAAACCACAAGTTCAAAATGTAAGTCAAAGCTTAGTGAGCCCCCCCCCCCCCTTCGGAAGTACCAGACACAACTAAAAAGATAACAACATGCATATATGATCCAACATGAGTGGACCACCTCGCAGGGCCTCAGCCAATTTGGACCACTCTTCGAGCCTTCGATCTGACTGAACTGCTTCGTAGGGCCTATATTCTATCTATACCACCCCATACATCTTGGTCTCCAGCACACAAAGCAGAATAGCCTCAACCCAAAAAACCATAACATGTCGACATATACAATAACACTCAATAACCAACAAGTACAAGTAATCATACAGATCTACCAGTCTAACACATAACCAATAAAAAACATGTAATTATACATATCTACTAGTCTATCATATAACCCACATAACATCATCAAATATATTAGGATACATAATCAAGTGGGTTGACATTGGTGCCTTTGACCCATAAGTACAGTGAAGAAAACTCACCTCAATGTCAGAAAGATAGCAGAACTGAATGATGCTCCAACTACTGGCTTTACGGGTCGCCTATACAACATCCAGGGACCAAGCCTCAATCTACTACTCAATATATCCCAAATGACCTAAAGTCAAACTTGGTCAAAGTCAAAGGTTAATGGTCAAAGTCAAAAATCAAAAGTTACTCCAATAGGGTGCCATGTCGTGGCTGCTAAATGACAAAGCAGATGGGTCCTTACCAAGTCGCCACGGTGTGGCAACCTAAGGTCATGTCGTGGGGACTGGTATGGACAACTTAATCATTATGTCATTTTTCCCACAACTTTAAGAGCTCCAAAACTTATATATGGTCCTCCTTATGGTCTTGATGGATAAATTTTACAACTTTATCCATTAAGACTCCTCAACAAGTGTAACATCCCGACTCCCAGGTATAATATTGAATTAATTTTTATTCATATTGTCATATCAACTCGACAAGTTGGATGCCCCAACTCGTCGAGTAGAGGATTTAATGGCCGCATGATTTTTAGAGTCTACTCGACGAGTTGGAGGACCCCAACTCGACGAGTAGGATCTGAGTGTGAAAACACTAATTTTTAGGGTTTGTGTCCTATTTAAGGAACCTTAAGCCTTCATTTTTGCCTCATTTTTCACCTTAACACCATGAGAGAAACCCTAAACGAGTTGGTATCATTTATGAAAGAAAGAGGCGCTAAAAGTGTGAGATTTGGTGCATTCTTGGAAGGAGATAGAAGAGCATAAGGCCTTGAACGAGAAGAAGCCTCTGGATCCAGTGTTCTTTCAGTGCAAGATACTTATTGGAGGTAAAAGGCTATAATTTTGATCATTGTTTGGTTAGATCTCATCTTTAAGAGTTAGTGGCCATTTCCAACCTCCTTTTTATCCTTTGAGTCATTTGAGAATGATATAGAGTTGAAACTCCAGATCTAGACAGTGTAAGATCCCTTAAGCATAAAGATCCAAGCTTTACCAAGCTATTGGCCAAGCTCCAAACACTAAACCTTCTGTAGAGCTTTGTTTTGGCATTTTGAGCCCTAGATGTCATGCGTAGACATAAAGCTTGCAGTTTTACATGGTATACAGCCTTGGGAGGCTACATCTAGAGTTTGGGGTCTCATTTCTGCTTAGAATCGTCTGAATGAGAATTGGTCTAGAGGGACTCGACGAGTGCATGAGCCAACTCGACGAGTCGGCTAGGGTTTTCCCTGATAGTCTGGACGCGCTACAACTCGGCGAGTTGATGAGACAACTCGACGAGTTGAGTTGGTTTTTCCAGATACTTCAGAGAAAACGAAGGAACTCGACGAGTCGCATAGATGCACTCGACTAGTTGGGTTAACATGGACTATTGACTTGGGTGTTGACTTCCGTTTACTTTTAGGGTTTGGTCAAGACATGAGTGAGGAGACCATGGAGGGGTAAAATAGTCTTTCACCCTTTCCGAGAGTAAGGAAAGAGGTTAGCCTAACTTTGTAAGAGTTGTGATTATAAATTGTTAATCAGAGATGATTATATTATGTAGACAGAGTCTACACTATTTGTGGGGTACTAGATCTACTTGCTTACTTACGAGGTGAGTCTTCTCACTATACTTATCTGAGCAGTAATATTGTGTGAACGGAGGGTCTTATTTGAGTTCTTGACCTGAAGGTCCTATGTGCTTATATTGATTTATGTTATATTATGCATTTTGTCTTTGTGATATATGCTATATTTTTGTGCCTTACTGAGTTAGGACCAGAGGGTCCAAACCGAGTTGTGAGACCGGAGGGTCTTCACTAAGATACATAACTGGAGGGTCCAACCCAAGCTGTGAGACCAGAGGGTCTTCCCTGAGACACATGACCAGAGGGTCTAAACTGAGCCATGAGACCGGAGGGTCCTCATCAGGACGCATGACCGGAGGGTCCATGCCGAGCTATAGCCATGAGAGGCTTATTATTTATGTATGTGTTATTTTGGGGAACTCACTAAGCTTTGTGCTTACCGTGTTGTGTGATATGTGTTTTAGGTACCTTTCAGGATCTTGATTGTACACACATGTTCGAGATTATGTTTGAGGATTCCGGGATATTATCAGTTATTTTGTTGATTTGTGTTTTGACAATTGACACATTGTGGTTTTTGAGAAAATGTGATATTGAGTTTTATGTGGATTAAAAATAAAAATTTTGTTTCAAAATTTAGAGTGTTACAACAAGTCAAGATCCAAACCCCTAATTCCTTAAGATTAACCAAAAGCATAAAGACACCTATTAAGCATCAAATCTCTAGAGTTGCACATCTAAAGTTTCCAGAATTATTCCATACTCTAAATGAGCTCTAAAAATCATAGCTTTATGGACATGCATGTCCCTTCCATTTTAGGTAATAAAACATGACAATAAAGGCTTAAATTTGAGCATGGGACCAAAAATTACATAGATCCTCACATCTGGAACATATAGCACTAGAATGATCACATAGATCCCTAAAGTTGCTAACTCTATGAGATTTAACCATCCAAATTCTCACACCAAGAAGATTTAGGGAAAAAGGGCGAGATCTAAAGGTAAATAACATAAAGGTTGGATCTTGGGGACTTATAATGGTCCAGAAACATGCTCAAGGTTGGTGAGACGATTTTCTTGTTGGAACCAAGCTCAAAGATGCCTTCTTCTTCAAAATACCACCAAGACACACAAGAACTCAAAGATTAGCAATGGAGGCTAGGGTTTCCTTTTGGAGGCTGCGGGAGAGTGACTGAGGCTAAGGGTGGTCAACCCTAGCCCTCCCATTCCTTAAATAATGGCCACGTCATGGCGATATATGCCACATCGTGGCGCCAACTTAAGGGCTACGAAAACTCTTGCTTTGGCCATGTCGTGGCCACCATAAATTTAACTTCAATTTATTAAATTTACTTAAAAAGGAACACCCAAAACTTGGAATTACACTTAAGAACTTTGGAATGGTTTTAATGGACTTAATAAGTTAAGTGAGGAGGTTTATACGATTCAAAATTTAATATATGCATGTTAAAAGTTGACAAAAGTTGGGACAAATTGATTTATGAGACAAATAAGATGTATAGAATGGATAGGAGAAAGAGTTGGAACTCTACCAACATGATACAACAAGTTCCACCATAATGTCACGATAGGGCTATAGTAAACCCTCCATTAATACGATAATGTCATCTGCCATTACAATGAAACTTTTTCCAAAAATCATCGTTTTTCAGTCGAATGTTTTGAACCTTCTCGAAACCTATTAAAGATATACTTTCATCATATTAAAGCATAGAAGTTAGGAACCTTTTTAAGGGTTTTTGGTCATTTAGTAACATTTAGTTGTTAACTATAGGTGGTGTTTGAAGAGCTTTCACTTGAAGATGGTGTCGTTTCATTGCTAAGGTCTTGAGGCGAGTTTACCATGAGTACACGTCCCTACATTATTTTATTTCCATGGTTTTCTTCATATGATATTATATGTAAACTTACTTGAAATGTGGATTATGTGTGCTTTCATGAAATCATATTTTATGAAATGCTTTTTTTAACATAAAGCTAAATGCTATATTTTGAAAAAAAAAAAAAAAATTAAACACCCTACTTGTCGCATCCATGCATTCATGCTAGGATGGTGGTGACCAAGAGATTCAGGTAGCCAACTCACACGAGGAATTTCACATAATCCGGTATGAGGTATTCCTAAGCAATTGGGTTTTAGATATTCTCCACAACGGGTACACATGTGGGCTAGCTACCCCTTGTGTGGCTTAGGGTGGCTTATGAGTGCCTAATATGAAGAATACTACTTAGGGTCTGTTATAATACGACACTACCCAAGAGTCGTATGCCATTTACCTTGTGAGTTGGATGTTGAGATTGACAAAACTGTTGTGAATAGAAACATGCATTACATACCATTTTAATGAATTGTTCACTGCTTACCCAGGTAAGCCAGAGTTTGATCAAGTCCAAAGTCTAATCCAACTCTGGTGTCATGAAGGACCGCGAGACGCCTTTCTTTGCCCGACATACTCTCCTGTCAATGAAGACGTGAGTAAGGGGGCTTTGCTAGCTTGCTAGCTAGCGAGTTAGTATGCCTGTTGGCTTAAAGCTCTTAGCATGTTTCGAATGCTAGATCGGGTTGGTAATGGAAAGTGAAAGTTCTTTCGTTTAGTACGAGATCGCTTCACACCTCGCGCTGCTTACACCTCTCGCCTATCGAAGTTCTGTTCAAAAACCTCGTTCGAGAACTTGTATAGAGAAGGATTTCCTGTGGTGCAACAGTTCTTCCATACCAACTTAGCTGCTTTTTGTTATGTTGAGCTAGTTTAGATATTTTGCAAACTAATGTTTAGCCTATGAGAACGTTTGATACTTCGGTCATATAGTACCCTATTCTGTTCTGGGTTATTAAAAGTCCAACATGTTTGAAGTGTTTAAATAATTTTTTAGAGGTTTGATTCGAATAAGATAAATTATTATGTTCTTACTCTTAATAAATTAACATCGGATATGCTCACTAGACAATTTAATGCCTACTTGAATTTGATGTGTACTCACATTAAAGGTTTTAGTGACTTTACAAGAAGTAGAGGATACATTTTAGAAGACTGATTATATATATCACTTGATCATTGTTATGATAAATATTACCACCCTTTTACAACTTTTTGAGATGTTTTGTTGACTTTGACACCGTTAACTTTCCACAACTTAAAAAAATAACTAAACTTAGTTTCTGAGATGTTTCTTAAGTGTATTTTTACAAACTACCCTAACGAGGGATGTAATCAAGAGTTTCGGGATTTTTGCAAACCTCCATATTCATGCATCAAAATTTATACCTTATGGCCCAGTGTCATCATATTTCTATCCCACTAGCATATGCTCAAATTATTTAATTTAGAATAGAAACATCAATATTGTCTCTATTAGTATATAATGATTAAATAAAAAAAATAAAATAATGAAACGAACAGAAGAAATTTTGTAAGCATGACAAAAGAATGTCGACATGTTACAATTTCAAACGGCACACAACACACGTTATAAGGGCTTTTTCAATGCATGTTAACACATTACCCACATGAACTTGCATCCGATCTATACCAAAATATGTAGATGCACTTTGGGTACAACTTTGATGTAAGATTTTTGATACAATAACTACATTTTTTTCAAAATTTATTATCGATTGTACCACTTTTTTCTTTGAAATGTTTTTTTTACTGTTGAAAGTTTCCATTTTACATTAGAAATATATTTTATCGTACAAAAGTACAAAAGTACACTTTGATACACTACGTTTTGTCACAAGGATCATAGCTCTTTAAATTTATGTATTGTAGTTGATATTTTTTGCATTTGTTTCAAGGAATCATCATAGGAGAGGCAAATCATGAAACACCAACACGAACTCAATGTGTAATGATGTGGGAATTCATGCCTATTCTTGTCAATGTTGCTATCATGCGATTTATCAACCACCACCACTATCTCTATAACGATCACCACCGCCTCCAATGCTACTATCTCCAATAGTACTATCATTGGAAAATTAGACAGTCATGGAGACGGTGCTAATTGTTATGAAGATAGTGGCAGTGACAAGTGTGACTGCAGTAGCTGAAAAGAACGAAACAATCAATGAGTGATATTAGACTTCGCAACACGCGCTTCGACATACCAACTATGCTAGTTTATGTAAGTTGTTACTCAATTAAAATTCCAACTTCAATTGTTGAAATTGTAATTTTAAAAAAAAAAAAAAAAATCGATCTTAGCTCTTTAGTTCAATTGAAAAATCATATAGTTCAATGTATATTTAATTATTTATGTATTTATCTCAAATTATCATAAAAAGATAATGCTAGAAATGAAGGTGATCCATAGATTTTGGAATAGAAACACAGGTATATCCAATTAGATAGCACCACACCACCACCTCCATCGCCATCCACCATATGCTATAGATAACACCTTATCCCCCTTTGTTATCACTCGTTCCATTCCCAACTATATTTTAATGAACATTTATAATATTATATACAAACTATGATACGTATTGATCGTTACATCATGACAAATTAACTAAAACGTTGTTGAATTTTTACGTATTATGCTTATAATCGTACTAGAATTTTGATTTGTCATAATATGACTGCATCGATTGTCGTGGACCCCATGATATAAAACTGATTGTTTATTATTATTATTATTATTATTATTATTATTATTATTATTATTATTATTATTTTGTGTATAATCCTAATTAGCTTCTTTAAACAAGTTAAACGAATTTAATTAAACCTTATTGGGTTTTCATTTAGAAATCGCGGGACACAATAGCATAGATAATATTTTCAAAATAATTTAGAGACATTAAATCTAATGCTTTTAAATTATTTTAAGAATGTACATGTTTGCAAATCCAATATGATTTTATTGATATCAAAGATATTGCATTTGAAGAAACAAGTAACATGTTTCAATAAAACTGAATTATGAAAAATGAAAAATTACTATAATTATCTTTAATATATTATTTTATGGAAGCTTAATTCACATACAATAATTTTTTGTCAGATAAAACAAAGACATTTTTTTGCATATTGTACTATTGAGCACGAATTAACTTTCTTATTTTATGGGTTAATCATAAAAATACCGAAAATGGATGTCATGTTAGAAAATAACCATATTTTAAATATTTATCACAAAAATACCATTCATTTTGCAAACTGTCTTTGCTTCACAAAATTTTGCTTTATAAACATCCACCACAAAAATCTCTTTTTTTACAAGAAAAAAAGGCGACTTTTGTTTGTGAGATGATATCATTTTTTTAAAAGTATAATGTCATTTCAGACTTTTCTCAATGTCCACTTAGTGAAATGGATTATTTTGTTAAATAAGTATTAGAAATTTATCATTTAATGACATATGTCCTTTTTTTTAATCATTCTAATGATTACCCTTATTTTATACAAAACTAAAAAAATATGCATGGAGGGGTGACACGTGGAGTTTTGTGGTACGTCCAAACCTGATCCCTCATATTATCCATGCAAAAACCGGAGAGATGGAATTAGTATAAAACCCCAATGAAAACTCCGACGACTGATCACATCAACCTCTTCCACCGTTGTGGTGATCAATGTCTGCAACAGCCGCCGCATTTACACCCAATTTCAACACTCCATCTCTCAAGAAACCCTCCGCCACCGTTCCCACTTGTATTGCAAGGCTGAGCAACACCTCATCATCCTCCACACCTCCTCCTTCTACTCCAAGCCTCATCCGTAATCAGCCCGTTTTTGCTGCCCCAACTCCGATCATCACCCCCACTTGGGTATATATATTTTATAGAGACTACTTAACTACTTTAAAGTTTATGATTTTTTTTTTCTTTTAACATTTTTCTGTTTCGCTACATTTATGGGAGTTAGCTTTAGCCAATCAATTTTAATTTTAATGAGACACGAAAAAGCACACAAGAGACGTATAGCATTAAAAAGAGCCATAAAGACAATGTCGAAACTGATGAAATCTCGTTAATAAATAAATGACGATTTTTTTTTTTTTGTGAATTTTGAAAGATGATATTTATATAGAGAATGGAATTCTGAAATGTGATATATTGCAGAGAGGAGACATGGGAAACGAATCGTATGAGGAGGCCATTGCTGCACTTAAAAAACTTCTAAGGTAAAGATATATTAATAGATTTTACTTTATGTGCGTAATGGGTCTTTTTTATTTTGATATAGATTTACATAATAAACCAATAAATATTGAGTGTTTTAAAGTTGGTATATAATCTAAATTATAAATTGTTTTGAAAGTCGTTTTACGTACACCCTTGTCAAAACCACATGTTCTTCTTATAAGTCTAAAAGGCTAAATAATTCCCAATTTCACTTAATTAAAGGTAACAGTTTTCCAACGTCCCACAACTTTTTTATTATTTGATTAAATAAATTATGAATATTATAAATAATTTAATGATGGTTTTGCAGTGAGAAGGGAGAGTTGGCACCTGTGGCTGCAGCAAAAATTGATGCAATCACAGCTGAGCTTCAAACACCAAACTCCAAACCAGCATTTGACCCTGTTGAGAGGATCAAAACTGGATTTGCGAAATTCAAGACTGAAAAATATATGTAAGATTTTTATGATAAATATATATTTTTTTATAAAGATTTGTTGTTTACTAAATGCTCGTGTGGTGGAGTTATATGCAGAACTAATCCAGCTTTGTATGATGAACTTTCAAAAGGCCAGAGCCCAAAGGTAGTGTACTTTTAAAAAAAATTCTTAGAGTAAAACTATGTTTGGCATGCTATCTTATTTTTTGAGCTTTTTAAGGTTGTCATGTTTGGCAAACCAAAACGCAGCTTGTAGCCTTTAATTAAAAAAAAAAATCTCAATCTTCTACATGCCCTTTTTTATCATTTTACATATTCAACTAGCTTATCGGTTAGTTTTACCAAACATCAATTTTTATTTACTAACAGTTAGCTTTTCAGCTAATCTACCAAACATAGCTAATTTTGCAATCTATATCTAAGAGTAGCTAATTTTTGCAATTGGCCCCAAAAGTTTTCTTTTGCAATTTTGGTCCTTATTTAAGACTCTTGTAACGTCTTTGGTCCCTGTTCCAAGTAAAATGACTACTTTTGGTCCTTAAGTATATAGTTGATTTTTGCAATTTTGGTCCCAAAAGTAGTCATTTGGGGACGGACCAAAAACGTTACACAACCTCAAATAAGGACTCAAACTGCAAGAGAAAACATTTTGGGACCAAAACTGAAAAAGCAAGCTATACTCAGGTACCAAAAATGTAATTTACTCTTTTTCTTATGAAGACATTGTACTTTAGAAAATCTACTTTCACTCTTTTTTTTTTCCTATTAGGACATTATTATATGTTTTAAAATCCCATCCAATCATTTTCTAATTTTTTAAAAGTAGAATGCTATAACATGAAGAAATGAAAGTAGGATGCTATTAACATTTAACATGTGCCAATGATATATATGTGTGCAGTTTATGGTGTTTGCATGCTCAGACTCCCGGGTTTGCCCATCACACGTGTTGGATTTCCAGCCTGGCGAGGCATTTGTTGTCCGTAATGTAGCCAACATGGTTCCTCCATTTGACAAGGTTCGATCACAGTTTTAATTGTTTATCATCATCATAAATCATAATAATAATAATCATTATCTAAAGAATTACAACTTAATTATTGGTTTTCTTGATTACTTGCAAAAATAGGTTAAATATGCTGGAGTAGGAGCTGCTGTTGAGTATGCAGTTCTGCATCTCAAGGTAATTTCGACCCATGTACTTGAAAATGGGTCGGGTCGGATCGGGTCGGACTGTAGTTATTAATAATGGGTCAAATGGTAACACTAACAGATTTATCACCTCCTAACTTGCTTATTCAAAAAGATTAGATCATTATTTTACTACGAGTTTTTGTAATCTTATCAATATATTAACTAGATAAGAAAGGGTTGACAGGTGAGCCAAACATATTTTGACTATTCCTAATAATGACAAACATAGTCCTAACCTTTTTCACAAATATTATTTTTAAACATCATTTATCCAAACAAAAAGTTAATGGGAAAAAAAAACACTACCTAATTCGTGCATGAGACATTTTTAAAAGTTATTGATTTGAATGATATGATCATGCAGGTGGAGCAAATAGTTGTAATTGGACATAGCCGTTGTGGTGGGATCAAGGGTCTAATGACCTTCCCAGACGAAGGACCTCACGTTACGTAAGTTTTATTCACCTTTCTATATGCAAAAAAAAGTTATGACCTGATGAAAATGACTGTTTTACCCTTGTTTTATCTTCAATTCCTTCACGTTGATATGGCAGTGATTTCATCGAGGACTGGGTCAAAGTTGCTCTCCCTGCAAAGTCAAAGGTGAAAGCAGAGCATACCAGTTCAACTCTTGATGATCAATGTGTAACCTGTGAAAAGGTAAATAATAGTAATTAATCTTCAATGAGGTTAATAGTCAGATTTTTTTTTTTTTTTTTTTAAGAACTAATAATCTATGTGTTGACTTTGCAGGAGGCAGTCAATTTGTCTCTTGCAAACCTGTTGACTTACCCATTTGTAAGAGATGGACTAGTGAAGAAAACACTGGCACTTAAGGGTGGACACTATGACTTTGTTAATGGGACATTTGAGCTGTGGGGACTTGATTTTGGACTTTCTCCTACTACTTCTGCTTGATTGATATTCACACTTGTATTTTATATAATTCCATCTTTACCCTTCACTCTTTTGTTCCACTTGAATTTCACCTACCATCTCTACTTGTAATAATTCTGGTCTTTCAAGTTTGAACCTCTTCTGATATAATAAATCAAGTCTTTGATATGTATGCATATGCTTAATCTATCATTTCTTATATTAATTATATTTCGGAATGATTTTTCTATGCATAATAGGACACTGCTAATTTAGGCGAGATTAACCAAAATTTAGAAATTATGCCTAACTAACTAAAATCTCCTACCTAAAGATAGCATGTGGAAATATCTCATTTCATGCTATTTACATTACAAATTAAATAAAGGGTTAAATATCATAAAAAAACAACCTTATATTTTGGGTTTTTCCGGATTAAACCTCAACTTTAACTTTTTCTTAAAATAGACCTTGCATTTTTTCATTTTTTCCGATTTGACCCTTTTAGTAGGTTTACTAGTAATCTTCTGGTTTTACACATTTTTTTCCAGAAAAATCCTCAAAAAAAAAAAAATTTCCGAAAACCCTCTCAGATTTTTACTTTTTCTCCAAAAAAATCCATCAATTTGTTTCTCGAAAATTGTCAAATATGAGGGGGTTTTTTAGAAAAAAAAAAAAAAAAAAAAAAAAAAAAAAAAAAAATCTAAGGGAGATTTTGGGAAAAAAAATGATGGGTTTTTTCGGAATTTTTTTTTGTCTAAAATCGGATGATTACAAATAAACCTACTAAAAGGGCGAAATCGGGAAAAAAAAATGCAAGGTCTTTTTTAGAAAAATAATATAAAATTGAGGTTTAATCTGGAAAACCTCCAAAAATATAAGATATTTTTATTGATATTAACCCTTAAATAAGAGAAATTATTAAAACCACTGAATTTGGGGAGAATCAAAATTTGAGCCTTGTACAATGGAATTTGGGCTTGGATATCTCGGGTTCTGAAACTGCTTGTTTAAAAGTTGCAAATATTTGAATTTTGCATGTTTTTCCACATGTTTGTGCTACACCTCATATATTCTAGTAAGGGCAGTTATGGAAATTCAATAAAATGATTATGGGTCTTTGATAGTAGAAGCGTAATTTAGGCAATTTAGGTTTTATTTCTGTTAGAGCAGTAATTAGCTAGTAGTGGCCTAGTGGAAGAGGAGAATTCTGAATATCATCTTTTTGGTGAAATCATGTCTTGTGCCTTGGGAGAGGCTAGGCTCTCGAATCTCTAGCAAAATCTTCAGGGTTTTGTATTGTTCATTTTGGGTGTTATCAATTTAGTGAAGCTTTTGGGTATCGTTTCTTGTATTGATTCTATTTTGAAAAGTCAGTCTATAAATGTGACTATAGTTGGAGTTTGTTGCAATAACGTTACACAAAACATCAAAGGAAATCAAAATATAAAACGCCAAACTCATATAGGTCAAACAATTTTGTTGATGAATTTCCTCAATGGAAGGTAGAAGTCCATTTTCTATGAATAAATTGGAACCATGTAACCTCATTCATAGTTCTTCTAAATAAATGAAGAAAGATATAGAAATACTTGGTAGCTACATATTCATGAACATGACAAGAGTAAAGTAAGTATAATGACATTCTGAAAGGATTACAAGTATATATAGTTTGAAGTTAATACATGATTGTGGTGGTAGACTATTTACATGACCCACTATTAGGAAACAATACGTCAAATAATACAGTGCGAGATATTTCTCATAATAAATAGTAAATACAAATTCACAACCTGACCTCACATTTTGAGGAATCATGATTCATCAGCTTTTGGCTCAAGTATCACAGGGATCTTCTCTACATGGTCACCACGAAGCACCTCAACAGACACCTGATCATTACAAAACAACTTGAATATCAAAAGAAGATGAATTTTCAGAAATAATAACTTCAATAGTTAACAAAGAACTTACTGTTTCGCCAACTTTACATTGGTCAAGAATTCTGTATAAATCACTTCCATTAGAGACTTTTTTTCCATTTACAGATGTGATAATGTCACCCAATATGAGCCTTCCATACGTGTCACGTTTCGTTGACAGAAGACCCTGTAGGTCCAGGTTAATTGGTGTATGTAAAATAAATAAATGATAGAAAATTACAATGCTGACATGGCAGTCCGTTGAACTGTATTAAAGTTTAAAGGGTTGCGCGGGTTAAAAAGGTAAAGTCATATAGAAAGTGTGATGATGACGTGGCAATCGATTAAACATGATAGAGATAAAAGGTAAAGTTGTATAGAAAGTGGAATTACTGCTTTTCCAGCTGGACCATTTGGAGGGGCATCTAAGACAAGTACTCCACTGACTCCAAGTTGTTCCACAGACTGATCAGGTGCAAACTTAATTCCTAAAATAGGTCTTGTAACTTTCCCAAATTGCACCAACTGGTCAACAATTCCACCAACCTAAACATATGATTCAATAAAAAGAAAATTATTTAGGAGGCCCCACAACCCTAGATAAGAATTTAGGAGAAAACGAGGTTAGAGTAATGTAACTTACAGTGTCAACTGGAATGGAAAATCCAACACCAGATGATGCACCAGATGGAGAGTATATGGCTGTATTAATCCCAATAAGGTTTCCTGAGCTATCTAGAAGTGGGCCCCCACTATTACCAGGGTTAATAGCAGCATCTGTCTGGATAACATCTTGGATCGGACGCCCAGTTGCAGCTGAGCTTATTTCTCTCCTTAACCCACTACAAATAAGGAAACCAATACATTAACAAATGTTTTACTTTTACATGTATTTTACTATGCATAATTCATACCTAATGACACCGGTTGTTAGTGTGTGATCAAGCCCAAACTGCAAAAAAAAAAATATATATATATATATATATATATATATATATATATATATATATATATATATATATATATATATATATATATGAACTTTAACATTAGTCATCAGAGCCCTGTGATGCTAGAAATTTAATTGAAAATGACAAATAAGGATTAACAAGGAGAGCTACTGCATGAAATATTGATTTGAAGCAGCAACTTAGCAGAACATATATGTATGAAGTATATAATAATATACTATGCTTGTATTTTTACGTGTGTAAACTATGCACACTCACAGGGTTTCCTATAGCAAACACTTTTTGTCCAACAAGCAAGTCAGCAGACACACCAACTGGTATTGGTCTCAATTTATCTTTTGGTGCATCGATACGCAGTACTGCAACATCCTTATCTTGGTCAAAGCCAACTACTTTTGCATCATATGTGGTCTGATCAGCAAGAGTTACCCTGTTTATACATAAATCAACTCATTACCAGCAAAGAGAAGAACAATAAGATACCATATGCACTTCTAACATATCCAAATGATGAAGGCTGATAATGCAACTACAGCTGCCAAACTGAATTATGCATTGTACAAGGTGTACAAGGAATACAAATACTAAGATCATCGAAGATATTGGAAACATATACCTACTCTATTAGGTTAAACTTAAACCATGTGGTTTTTAGAAGGTTGAGAGATCCTCTCAGACATGATAGATCAGCAAACTATATCTCCTATTACTACCACCGGTTGCATTTGGTGCTTCCATGATTTTGAGTGTCTTTATAGTTTATAACATGGATTATTTCAGTATTCTTAGTGTGACCTTTTTTATCGCAAGTCTTAAATGAAAAAGCAATATTCACTCTGCATATTCCATGACATGAGAGAAGAGGCAAACTTGACCAACCTGAGATCAGACGCACCTCGAATAACATGATAATTTGTGACGATGTGACCTTTTTTATCCCAAACAAAGCCTGATCCAGACCCCTGAGGCACCTCCAATACATCCAAAGTAAATGCATCCTGCCTAGACAACATAACTTCACTCAGAAAACGAATGAATTAACAAAGTTCCAGTATCTCCATTGAGCTCATGAGATCAAAAATGCCTGACGTTAGCATCATATCCTTTATCAGCCATTTCTATATGTTTATCCGATGATCCGTGATAGAAAGCATCAGATGAGAATCGAAATCAACTAGATCATCAGAATTTTGCCTTTAGTTGGACCACATAATTCCGTTCCAGATTCAACAAACACAATGACAGCCACAAAAACAGATGTTTACTTAAATTGTAGTAATAGAAGTACCTGGCAGCTAAATTAGTGATGTAGACAACGGAAGGAGTATTATCCTGGAAAAGACGAACGGTAGCTAGCTCATCGGTTTGCAACTTCCGAGAGGGAGTAACAACAAAGGCAGCGGCCGAATCAACATCGGTAACAAAAATAGAGACGGAAAGTGCTGCAGAAGTGATTAATACGACTAATGAATCTAGGAATTTGTTGAAGGTAGAACAATTGGTGGACTCCGGCGCCGGCGAGTGGTTACTGTGAGCAGTTTGGCGAAGAGAGGCAACGATGCAAGTGCTACGGAGACTGCGATGCGAGAAGTCTCTAGAAAGAGGAAGCGTGGAGTTTGGGAGACGATTAGGAGAAGGAAGTCGACGAGGAAGAGTCGGAGAAGAGAAGTATGTGGAGAGGAATGAATATGCAGCCATTCCTGTTCTGCGATTCCTGCTGCGTAAGCATAGAGTGATGACTTGTTTTTATGCACATTGGGCAATTTCAATCAATATTAGTTTAATTTGGATCTTTTCTTATTGTTTCAGATTAATTCAACTGCTACTCATTTAACAGCTAAAAATAAAAATAAAAATAAAAATAAAAATAAAAATAAAAACAAAATATAATAACATTAATGAAAAGTTATCATCTAACCCCTCCTTGATCAAAGAAAGAAATCTTTGATATATTTATTTAATGGTTTCAATCTTTTAATGCTTATAAAGAAGATATGGTTCCGTAATTGTTAGGAGGTTTTTAATTTACTCTTTGGTTATATAAAAGCTATATATTTTAGCTACAACTTACGGTTTGCCAAACATACCCGGAATAGCAACTCAATTGAGATACAAATTGGATGGCTTTCTTTCTGTATCACACACAAATGACTTTAAAAATAAAACAAATTATCTTGTGGTTAAGCAAATTCTCCATGGATGAGCATCTTAGCATCTACATTGTTTGTTTGGCAAGGCAATTGTTGGCGGGTGTGTGCGTGGGGAATTGAATAGTATGGATGGTGTATTGGTGTTTCAAACACGATATAATTATTATATTTTGTCAAAAATATAATGATTGTAATATATCATTTTTTTTTTTTATATGTAATAGTGTGTATGTCGTGTCAAACATATAATAGTAATTGTGTAGTGTGCATAAAATGTACTCAATAATGCATAATAACATCAAATACATGTCCTAGATGTAATAATGTAAAATTAAGTATATGTCTAACATAGGTAATTGACGAACAATAGTTGTCATAGATAATAAAACTTACCCCATTGATAACCAAATGTTTGGTCGATTGCCACATTTTGATTAAAATAAATTATAAATTGACTTAAAACCCACGAGGGGTTTGCTCCACCAAACAGACATTGCCCTTTTCTTTTTATTTTCTTTTATTTATTTGTTTATAATTCTTTTTTAGTTAAACATTATTTTGTAATTATTTTCATTTTACTTCTATTTAAAAAAAATAAACAAAATATACTAAAACACGTAAAATAGTTTTATCTATGAACAAAGACCAATATTTATATATTTTAAGATTTTTTTTACGAATATTTTATATTGTCTATAGAATCTTAAAAATAAAAGAAAATGGTTATAAATTGAATAAAAGTTTGTATAATATAATAAAAATTAATCATAAATAAGTAAAAAAAATGTTTAGTTTAGATTGGGTTGCTAATGGATGTAAAAGTTGAAAAGTTTTGTATATGTGGAAAATAGAAGTTACTTTTTTAATAAATAGTTGAATTGGTTTTGATTATGAATAAGGATAAGTGTAAAGATCGTTGATCCTATGAAATAAAATAAAACGAAAAATTTATGAAATGATTTTACTCTTAATTTTGTCTGTTGAAGTTTTTAACTTCTTAATAGTAGCAGATCACCTACCATAAAAATAACATGACAAGCAGACGAATACCATACGATTCAAAGATCACGACCAAATACTCTCTTATTTATCATTTTTTAATTTAATACTCTATAATTCATATTTTAAAAATTATTGTATTTTGAGAATTGTGTGTGTGTGGGCTTGATAGTATGAATGGCTACATGGTTTGTTTGACAAGACTAAGATTATTTATAAAACTTCTTTAGTTACAGGAGGGAGACACTTCAACTCGATTGAACAAATTGACTCCTATCAAGTGGAATGTGTTGGTATGAACAAAATATCCACTAAAGATACTTTGGGCAAACAAGATATTGAAGTAGATTAGGATTTATGCACGTCTTACAATAATTGTATCAATAAATCTTATTTTCTTGTCCACTTAGCTATTCATATTTGGGGTCTAATTAGATATCCTCCGGAGTACGTTAATTCTCAACTTAGGGGAATATTAATACCATGCTTCGGTTTCTTTTTCTCCAAAAATCATTTCAGATTTGGTGGCCGTGCTTATAATACATAAAAAAAAAAAATAAAAAAAAAATTAAATCGACTTAAAAGAGATTTAACATGCCCAACTAACCAATTAAGAATGAAACAAGAAAAATGTTAAACAAAAAGATAACAATAGCAAACAAAACACTTTGATGAGCTACTTGAGAAAAAGTCGAATTATTTAAAGAAAAAAGAAAAAGTGAAGGAAATAAGTATAGAGTATAGAGGGTTGAAGAAAAAAGAAGATCAAAACATTCTACCATAGGGTCTGAGTTCCCTGGGGAGGCTATCAAAGTTGCCTGAACTGACATCGGATTGCAACATGGGTCTCATCCCGGATTTCCACTGGATTCCATCCGCTAAATGTTCTTTATTGGGTGTCAGCATTACATAATTCGGATCCGCTCTTTGGTAACTTGCTTCTCTTACATTATCCACACGAAGACCAACTCCAAAACATGTCTTTCCTATTGCACGATCTCGCGTAGCTGCCATGTCATCATATTACTTTTTTATTTACTTTTTTACTTACCTAACTTTTTGGATAATATTAAAACATACTCCAAATGAGAACTCGATCACAGCCCTTGGATCAAATTCATCGGTGGGCCCCTATAAATCACGGTCGTCTGACGAATTTGATCCAAGGATTTTTTTAACGTCACAAGATTAAAATTTTGAATATTATTACATATTTCTTATATGATCCTCCTTTAGTAATTATTACGACAATAAAATATTAACTTTTTAAATAACTAATTATAAACTATAAATATAAATCATAAATTCTTACATCTTTGATTAATTAATCTTCAAATATGTGAAATATTCGATCTTTGATTGGGGTGTTTGGGATCAAAAATATAAAACATCAATTGGAAGTTTTTCTTAATAACGGAAATCATGTTATTTAAAACTCAATCGTTCTTCAAAAGTCTATATATAATTTATAGCTAGTAAAGTTACCTGTGACATTGAAACTGAATGCAGGTTTCCACCATGACTTAAAAGCTAAAGACAGAGATGAACAAAGAGGGCCCACTTTTCCCTGGAAGATATATTGGTGAATTGATAGTATAAATTAAACAATAATTAGTATATGAAATTAAATAAAAGGTACCTTGAGCAAAATGTTTTTATTGGCTTGCCAAGATGCAGCAATATTAAAGGTGGAATTGTTTGATGACTTTTGATCATCCACCCTGTGTTTGTTAACAAATATAAGGACTTCTTTAAGTCACAAAGAGTATTATTGTTTATGTGGATAGATTTCACATCTAAATTTACCTTGTTTGCAACTCGAATCCAAAGTCTATGTAATTAGTGATTCCGATTACTTCATTCTCTTCAAGTGGATTCTTCACCTACATAATTGAACATTAATTCAAATTTCAGACTTCTTGATTTTATATATTACTTCCTTGATTCCGAAATTGGAACATAGTAAAATCAATGTTCTTCAACTGACAAATCTCTCTATCAAACTGGGGTTTTTCAGGTTATTGGCCTATAGTAGGTTGTATATTTCTGACATCTGCCCTTATAACTAATATACTTTGCAAATGGTGTAGCACTATTAAATTAAATTAAGTTGTTGATGAAATGACTCAAAAAATCAAACTGCTTTTAACTAAATGGGACACTTTTACAAATTACAAACACTAGGTATGTAGGAATGCTTATGTACCAAATTATTCTATGTAATTCCTGCTCTATTAATGTAAAACAGAAGATTCACGTGTGTGTGTGTGTGTGTGTATATATATATATATATATATATATATATAGAGAGAGAGAGAGAAGAGCATACCCTTCGTTGGACCACCACATGCTGATAGAAAGAGGCTATGAACTGCAATTAAAGTGTTTATAAATAAACATAACTGCTTAAGTTTCCATGTACTCAACTTAACAATGTTTTCAGTATTTTCTGTATAACATTGAATAAAAAGTTAAAAAAGAAATGTTAAATAAACTCGTAAAATTGTAAAAATGTGTATATATTTCTGGTCACAGATCAGAAATATTATAAGAGAGGCATTCAAGTAGAACACTAAAAATAAATTTTGACGTATGAAGAAACGGAAATAAAATTGAATCTGAAAAATGAAAATAGAAATAGTATAAAGTTAAAAAAAAAATGAAAATGAAAATGCAAGAATCATAAACACAGAAAAACCTGGGAATTTTGAGCATATTCAAGACCAAAATTGAATGAAGGACTCAATGGGCTGCCTGATCCAAGTCCATATCCTATTGCACAATTCCAATTCTTCAAATTTTTATACTTTGCACCATCCTTCTTTTCAACTATTCAAACACAATAACCATGACAAACAACATCTCAATTTATAATTTTGCATAAAAAGAATACAATAAAAAATATATATATTTATGGTTAAGACTTAAGAAAGAATCTTACATTGAGGATCATATTGCACCCCAGCAGTTAATCTCCCTATCTTGCTCACCAGCCATGCAGATTTCGGGACATCATCTCCCACTACATTCAAGAAATAGTTTTTTTTTTTTTTTTTTTTTAACTCAAAAATAAATAAAAAATTTATTTTTTATTTTTTGTTAATGCATGTAACATACATGAATATGGCAAAAGTGTGGCTCCAAATGATAACCTTGATGAGCCATATCTCAAACCCATTGTTCCATAGTCTTCTGGAGATACTCTGTATGCAAATTGAGCTTTATGAGTGAATAGAAATCATAATGGAATTAAAATAATAAAAACAAGATGAATAAACCTCTGTTTTTTAAGCACTGGAAAAATGCCAAATGCTCCAAAACCATATTTCGGGTAGTATGCACATGCTCTCATGAGTAAAATCCTGAAAGATACAGCAGACATGTAAGAACATAAGAGGAGGATAGGATAGTAAATTAGCAATAAAAATAAAACTCACTCTAGATACTTACGGATCAGAACTTGATACATATAGATCTGTGAATGTGTGAGGATCATCAACATCACTATAAGAATACAAAGAATTTCCTTTAGAAAGAAAGCCAAAAGAAGAAAATGTAAATTAGAAAAAAAAAAAAAAAAAAAAAAAAAAAAAAAAAAAGTGAGGATAAATAACTCTTTACAATACCTTTGCCAACGAAATAGTGCATTACCAACAATTGGATCATCAGGCTTGTTATCAAGAGGACCTGAAACCTGAATGAGGGTTAAGGAACTTTTCATTCACATTTGGCATAAAAGTTGACTCAAACTCCAAATGAAAGATAAAAGACGATATATAAATAAATAAATGGATTAGAAGAATGTTTGGAAAGATTGTAAGTAATTAACAGTTTTGATGGATACAGTTGCTACTAAATCAACATGACGATCATCAACTGGCTTCAACATAAATATAGTACTAAAATGATTTGCTGCATCAAAGTAATCTTCAAAGAGGCTTTTTAAGGCGAGCTTTCCAAATAGCAGATTATATGATGGCTCCAACATCCTGCATCACTTCAAAATGAATGGATTATAATCAAAACCAAATATCTCCTAGTAGAAAAACAAGCTTCTTGGCTAGATTGTGATCCATGAAAGAGGTGCAATATCAAACAATCAACAAATTTTTAGCAACCAAATACAAAGATCAATACTTCCATCTTCCAAAGATGAACTTCTTGATAGTTGATGCAGAATATATTTAAATCAATAGGCCAATTCATAGATGAAACAGTGGGAATGAGAAAAGCATGCCACTTCAAAAGGCCATAACATTTCATCACATGGAGCTATGGGTACAAGAAAGCCTTTGGCCCTCCATTGGCTCAAAAATCAAAATCCATCCTTAGGTGCCCTAATTTCAAATTTCC